GGCCAAGATGTGCTCAGACGAAGGCCCTGTGTTGATATCTCTGTAGGACCTCCAGCATAGATGCGTCTTGACTATAGTTTGATGGTGGTATCCTTGTAGGACTCGTAGGTGTAGTTTGATGGTGGTATCCTTGTAGGACTCGTAGGTGCATGTTGACGGTGGCCTGATGGTGGTATCCTTGTAGGACTCTCATAGGTTGATGCTGACACTGGCCTCATTTTATTCTCGCTGTACGGCAGCAATTATTGTCCAGCAATGTCCTTTGTTCGTTGTTTTTATTGTAATATATTCGTTATCAATAATTCCAGAATATTTCTTTTGAGTAAATAGCACCTTAACACAGTGCTGTTTACTAGCGCCGTGTTAAGGCAGCGACTGCACGGAGGTGTAGTATAGATTGTGCTTGCTCCAAATATCTTAAGCTCGTTCTATAGATAAAATATATTAAATTTGTATGAACATTTTGTATCAAGGACTACAGGTCTCCGATTTTGCTAGAGAATATTTAGATTTGTTAATACAAATTGTTGAGGAAGTTTCACATTCCTAGGCACACCTTCATGTTGGCACAGAATATATAGAGGGGCGTAGTTGACTTGTCCCGAGAGGAGTGGTTTGAGATACGATCACACATTTAGATCATATTGCCTGCTCTTAAGTTGCTTCACTCGTATCCAAACATCTTGGTTGGGCACCATTCCTTCCCTCCGTCCTATACCAGCTCCTTGTCCTCATATTCCTTAAAAGTGCTAAATAAGTGTACTGGCTTAGTGCTTACTCCTGATGTTTACCGTACCTTGATAATTCCTCTGAAGACTACAAAAAATAGGACTGTTTCACCAGTTGCTGGCTTCGTTTGTCTGGGTGAAGCTGTTTGCTGGTATTTAAAAGTAAAACAATTAAATCATTAACCTATTGGTTTTATACTGATATTGTGGCAACATTATTTATTATTTTGAACAAAAGCTCAACAATATAAACTAAATTATTAATAGTGGGGGTGAGGGGGAGGGGTGAGATATCATTAATATTATGTTCATTTGCTTCAGGTACAATTATGGTGATAAATGGTCGACCGATACATGAATGCATTTATAAATGTATAATTAGAGATCAGTGTGTGTGTGTGTGTGTGTGGTGTGTGTGTGTGTGTGTGTGTGTGTGTGTGTGTGTGTGTGTGTGTGTGTGAGAGAGAGAGAGAGAGAGAGAGAGAGGCAGGATGAGTGTACCGTTCACAGAGAAAGTGAGGTTGTAGAGGCCATGGGGCGGGTAGTGACCATGAGCCAGGGGTGTGGGAAGCCTGTGTTGTGGCATCCTGAGGGCAAACACCCACACCCAGAGTATTGAGGCACTCCTTCACCTATGTGTACACCTGCGGCACTTGATGACTGCTGCGATAGAGGCTTGTGTCTTCCTTGCACCAGCTCGAGGGTCCATGCATGCTTCTTGTCCTACCTGAAGGACTGGGGTTCAGTGGTTGTTGTATCGTGCTGTCAGTCGAGAGTCATCAGTTCGAATCTTCACGTCTTTGTCTAGCCAGTGCCTGAAGTGTAAGTATATCACAGACTGCTTGTAAAAAAAGGTTTGGTTAACAAATATTCTGAAATAATTGCGGAGATTCACTCTTCTCTCTCTCCCAGCCTACGTGCTATGTACAGTCCGTCCGGGAAACGGAACATCACATCAATGTTGCGAGCCGCTGGGATTTTTAGTACATCAGCTTTTGGCTTTAGATGATTTATTCGTCAAAATGCGGTGTACTATTCAAGAGGAAGTGTTGCGGGGTGACATCAGTGCCCCCCCCCTGAATGCAACCTGTCATCCAGAAATGATAGTACTTCTAGTTATGGCTGGAATGTACAAAACATGGACTTTTGCACCTAATAAAGGTGCACGTTTTGTACTCTTTTAGAAGGGCCGAGAAATAAGGCAACAACCTAACTTCTTAGGGCTAGTACAGTACATATATGTACTGAATTAGGCTTAAGATTGTTATGTGTATGGTTAAGCTTTTTCAGTTCTCATTATTCCCCTCTGAATTACAATAGTAAAACGTAGATTTGTTCTCGTGTGTAGCAGTCCATATTTTGTAAATCCCATTTAAAATTTTTGGAAGATGGGTTTCCTGAAAAGTACGGCTTGTAAACGCCTCATTCCGGTCCCTTTACTTTAATAGGGCAATTTGATTTACTTGAGGACATACTCGATAATAAGCTGCCCGATAGTAGACACACAGTCATACACAAACACCACAGCAACAAAATATTCCAAACCTTATACACACACTTTACATATAATCCTGGAATATACGGCACCGGAGTCGAACACAAAGCGAAGCAGAAGAAAATCTAAACATATCCCAACAGACTAGTCCAAGAGATGAGAGGTACGAGTACCAAGGAAGCCTGAAGGAATTAACCCTTGCAACTTGGAGAGACAGTCTTACCATCTCAGTCCCTCTTGTCGAGGCGAGGGAAAGTTACGGGTGAAGCTTGAGTGCTCTGTTAACCCGGAGGTCTGTCAAGTGCTCTATTAGTATGACCTTTATCTTCCTCTAACATACCCTTACCAGAAACACCTTTGACCACTATATCCCCTCTAACCATGAACATCTTACAAAACAAATATAACCCATTTATCTGAAGCAGGACCTTCCCCTTGTTGTGTCAGGAACACGGACAGCTCGCCATTGCTATCATAACTTGCTTTCTAATTCGCATTTCCAAAACTTTTCTTCACCTGCACCTTGCCATCTTCTTTACTCCACCCAAAAAAACTCCCCGTCTCTGTAAATATTGATATACCACCGGAGCCTTTCAATTTCAGTCTCACTAGTGTCTATTTATACTTACTATGTCCAAGGAACAACACCCAGATTTGTAAATGATTAGAAACTACTGTTATATGTAAATGTATTTTTCTAGTCACTTTTGGCTTAATACATTTTATTGAAACATGGCTCATTCAGTGGAACATAGACGAAGCATCGCAATAGTGACGTTTCTTGTTCATGGACTTCAATAGGTTACGGGGGCTGCATGGGCTCTTACTTGTGTGGTTAGGCAAACCAGTTGTATTTTTAACGGAGTGACGAATTATGAGAACGGTATTTTTGCCTCGCCTCTCCCATGTGATATTTGACCAAAAATACTTGAAATTACTTAACATTTTAAGCACTCTTTTGAATGTGATATATTAATGCCTCTGGGCCTTATTGCTCTCTTCATTAGCAATTTTCAGTACAGCCAGGCTTTATAAGTCCCAGGCTATTTATCCCAGCGTCTTAGATGTGTGCAACGGTGGGATACCACGTGTGTCAGGACTACACGGTGGGATACCACGTGTGTCAGGACAACATGGTGGGATACCACGTGTGTCAGGACTACATGGTGGGATACCACGTGTGTCATAAGGTGGACTCATACGTGTTAACTAGTTATGTCTGCAGATGGTAGACTCGTAGCCCTCACTATAGTTATGTCTGCATATTTTTGAGCTTCAAAAGCTTCAAACACAATTAGGAGAGTGTAGATCATTATTCAATGCAGACACAGAAGCCGAAGAAAATGCATGAGGAAAATCTATATGTATAAAAGAGAGTGTTTATGGCTGTCCAAGGTTAAGTCATCCAATTTTGCAAGGGAAATGGTTGGGGTACGGGACGGGAGACACTGGCTGTCGGGGTCGGACTAAGTTAAATACTTTAAGAAACATTTGCATTTATAAAGGCACATCCCCCCCCACACACACACACACACACATGCGATTATCATAGTCAATAGTGAAATATTTGGTGTGTTTTCCATAGAATTTTCAGTGCTCTGTAAATAAATTTTCTGAGACCCATACATTTGTTTCAGTCAGTTATTAACATTACAATTTTTGTGAAGGGGAGAGAGGGAGGAGCAGGGGGAAGGATGAGAGGGGGATCACAAAGAGAGGGACGAAGTGGGGCACCAAGAGGAGAGGGAAGGGAAAGGTCATGTGAAGAGGGGGGAAATGGTGTTATAGGGAAGAAGAGACCCGGGTGAAACAGATGGAAGGTAGAGAGAATTGAGTGAGGGTGGTGTTACGGTAATCTCCTGACTGTTCCTTTACCGCTTATTCACCAACGTATATGCTTGCTCCAACATCAACGACAACAACTATACGTGCTCAAAATGTATTGGTGTCTAGACACACCTCCCCCCCCCCCCCCCCCCCCCCCGCCCCCCTCCACCCTCCAGTACCCATGACACCTGCTGTCTCGGCGGGGGACCAGACGCTATCAGCTAACGATCGTTTACCTGCCGGCTGATTGTTAAACTCCGGAATTCGCACCAACTATGACGTCATGCTCCATATATAAGGGCTACGGCGTCCAGCTCAACAGATTACCCTTCGAGTGCTCATAGCTGTAACATCTACTACTTGCCTCCAGGTGACGGTAGACGCACGTAGCTGTTTTGTATAAAGTATTGCCGTCACCTTTGTTATTTAACGTCAATTTCACATGTATATATTTCTCTTTTGATTGTGTGAAAGCCAAGTGGATAAGGGGTTTGTTTTCATTAATTATTACTCGTCATTTTGTGTAAATTAATCATATTTTATTATATTAAATGTTTAGAGTTTTTATTCTCTTTCGTTTTTACCCGAAACTCTCACACAGTAGAGGACCCAAGCAGTCTTGCTTACTTTGTTTTATCTCTTTTTTTTTTATTAATGAACGATGGATACAACACCTGCCCGAATAGCCACTGCTCTATTCCAGATTCTCGTCACAGTGGTTAGAATGGGGAAGATGGAAGGGGAGAGAGGGGGGGGGGGATATGAGGAATGAGAGGAAGAACAGGAGTGGAATCCACTTCCACTCCTGTTCTTCCTCTCTAACACCTCTCCCATCACTTTGTTCCAATTTCAAGGGGGGTGATGGGGGGAAAGACAGACCATCTCTGGCACCGCCGGGTACCACTTCTAGTAGAATATACAAGGAGGGAGCCCAAAATACACGGGGGAAAATGAAAAACATACACGGGGGGCAGCCGGGATCAAAGCCCTGCTCTCCGGCCTCGCTGGTAATTACTTGAAAGTATAGTAATTAATTTCTCACGAGCATTATGCTAAGTTTACGGAACCATTAAGATGAAATTAAACTTCGATTGGCTGCAACGAGCTCGGGGGAAACTTGCCTTTTGATCCTCTTACCTCTTATTGTGCTCCTCCAGCCTGACCCTCCTGGGCTCCTCCAGCCTGACCCTCCCGGGCTCCTCCAGCCTGACCCTCCCGGGCTCCTCCAGCCTGACCCTCCTAGGCTCCTCCAGCCTGACCCTCCTAGGCTCCTCCAGCCTGACCCTCCTGGGCTTCTCCAGCCTGACCCTCCTGGGCTCCTCCAGCCTGACCCTCCTGGGCTCCTCCAGCCTGACCCTCCTGGGCTCCTCCAGCCTGACCCTCCCGGGCTCCTCCAGCCTGACCCTCCTGGGCTCCTCCAGCCTGACCCTCCTAGGCTCCTCCAACCTGACCCTCCTAGGCTCCTCCAGCCTGACCCTCCTAGGCTCCTCCAGCCTGACCCTCCCGGGCTCCTCCAGCCTGACCCTCCTGGGCTCCTCCAGCCTGACCCTCCCGGGCTCCTCCAGCCTGACCCTCCCGGGCTCCTCCAGCCTGACCCTCCCGGGCTCCTCCAGCCTGACCCTCCGGACTCCTCCAGCCTGACCCTCCCGGACTCCTCCAGGCTGACCCTCCCGGGCTCCTCCAGCCTGACCCTCCCGGACTCCTCCAGGCTGACCCTCCCGGGCTCCTCCAGCCTGACCCTCCCGGACTCCTCCAGGCTGACCCTCCCGGGCTCCTCCAGCCTGACCCTCCCGGGCTCCTCCAGCCTGACCCTCCCGGGCTCCTCCAGCCTGACCCTCCCGAACTCCTCCAGACTGACCCTCCCGGGCTCCTCCAGCCTGACCCTCCCGGACTCCTCCAGCCTGACCCTCCCGGGCTCCTCCAGCCTCACCCTCCCGGGCTCCTCCAGCCTGACCCTCCCGAACTCCTCCAGACTGACCCTCCCGGGCTCCTCCAGCCTGACCCTCCTGGGCTCCTCCAGCCTGACCCTCCCGGGCTCCTCCAGCCTGACCCTCCCGGGCTCCTCCAGCCTGACCCTCCCGGGCTCCTCCAGCCTGACCCTCCCGGACTCCTCCAGCCTGACCCTCCCGGACTCCTCCAGGCTGACCCTCCCGGGCTCCTCCAGCCTGACCCTCCCGAACTCCTCCAGACTGACCCTCCCGGGCTCCTCCAGCCTGACCCTCCCGGACTCCTCCAGCCTGACCCTCCCGGGCTCCTCCAGCCTCACCCTCCCGGTCTTGACCACTTAACACCCTGGAAAATTAAAGTTGAATGAGTGCTTGAGCGTTTTAGTGTACAAAGAGCACAAACAATCCGCTCGTAGTTAATACTAATATATTACAATCAAAAATTTGTATTACAGAAATTTAATTGTTCCGAAAAGAAAGATAGAAGCATATTAAGGGTGTTAGGTCTGGAGCCTCGGGTCCCCGCTGGGTGCTACTGGTATTGTGCCAAGATCGCTACAATAAGGCACTGAAAAAATATGCTGGTCATCATCGGGTCTCTTGTTTAGATGAACCGGGAACCGCAATCATTGAGGCAGTTCGTGGTGCTTTTTCAACAGTGGTTCTGGCTCTCGCATACTTTGGAACACATTTTGTTGATAGTGTAAATCCCTGTATTTATTTAACTTGACCATTTCCGTTTGGGTTTCAGTGTCAGTTGTGTCCAGTACTGAATGTGGTGTAGACATCGGCCAGGGTAGAAACCTATGCCTAATCCCACACCAGCCGCATGCCATTTTTCAGTGTATGTAATGTATGTAATCTCATCTGTGAGACCAACTGGGTTGGTCAACTTATGAGATATTGGATTTTCTCTCGGGCGGTTACTGGATGATAGTGAGGCTCTTCTTGGTGATATCGTTCATTTCAGTATGTTGTATGCAGCCCATATTCGGCGTGTACTGCTTGGCCTCAAATACGATGGTTGCCAGTGTGGACCGAACCAGCGAAAGTGGTTCAGTGTCACTGCGATACGGAGATAATGCTTGTCGAGGAGCGTGCGTGTTGCAAACATTAAGATTATTCGTAGTAATCTTCTGCATTCGGGCCACTCACAGCTGGTCACTGCGCATATTCATGAGGTATTTGTGTGGTGCTGAAGCTGCAAGAGAGTTCCTTTTAGCACTGCATTGTGTGAAGCTAAATTCCCAAACCCTGCTGAATCTCCTAGGTCTCCAGGCAGGATTTCCTTGACATGGTCATCAAATGCTGTGGAGGAGGTTGGGAATACTGGTAAATAAATCTGATCTGCTGGCTTGGGGCTGCTGTGGGAATGGGAACGGCTCAAAAATTAGGTTAGCTTGGGGAAGAATGAGCACCTAAGGAGAAAGTACAAAGCCTCGGGAGTATCAATGTCGGTAGTCCAGTCGTCCATCCTTTTCAGGTCAGCAGCTTCCTTTCCAAGAGTCGACGATGGCATCCATCCAAGGAATGCCACAGAGGGAGAGTCAGTCCAAGTAACTCAATAGAAACGCGTCTCTTGTAATGTAGCATCTTCCCTGGCAGCAGAGTCAGATACATTTACATGATGGGTTCGATGCAGGGTAGTGGTGGCAAGTGAACTAGAAGGGTGACAAGCATAATGTTAATTAACATAATAGTTGCTTTGGCACCTATCCGAGGGTAACTGAAGGTGTGTGAGTAATTATGTTGTTATGACGGCCGGCTCTCACAATAGTGATTGGTCCACGTCAATATGTTGGAGGCGATGGTGTCGTTACTGAGGGTGTCGAGCACGGAACAGTGCCGGTAGTGTCGTTACTGGGGAGTGTCGAGCACGGAACAGTGCCGGTAGTGACATTACTGGGGAGTGTCGAGCACGGAACAGTGCCGGTAGTGACGTTACTGGGGAGTGTCGAGCACGGAACAGTGCCGGTAGTGACGTTATTGGGGAGTGTCGAGCACGGAACAGTGCCGGTAGTGACGTTATTGGGGAGTGTCGAGCACGGAACAGTGCCGGTAGTGACGTTACTGGGGAGTGTCGAGCACGAAACAGTGCCGGTAGTGTCGTTACTGGGGAGTGTCGAGCACGGAACAGTGCCGGTAGTGACGTTACTGGGGAGTGTCGAGCACGGAACAGTGCCGGTAGTGACGTTATTGGGGAGTGTCGAGCACGGAACAGTGCCGGTAGTGACGTTACTGGGGAGTGTCGAGCACGAAACAGTGCCGGTAGTGTCGTTACTGGGGAGTGTCGAGCACGGAACAGTGCCGGTAGTGACGTTACTGGGGAGTGTCGAGCACGGAACAGTGCCGGTAGTGTCGTTACTGGGGAGTGTCGAGCACGGAACAGTGCCGGTAGTGACGTTACTGGGGAGTGTCGAGCACGGAACAGTGCCGGTAGTGTCGTTACTGGGGAGTGTCGAGCACGGAACAGTGCCGGTAGTGACGTTACTGGGGAGTGTCGAGCACGGAACAGTGCCGGTAGTGACGTTACTGGGGAGTGTCGAGCACGGAACAGTGCCGGTAGTGACGTTACTGGGGAGTGTCGAGCACGGAACAGTGCCGGTAGTGACGTTACTGGGGAGTGTCGAGCACGGAACAGTGCCGGTAGTGACGTTACTGGGGAGTGTCGAGCACGGAACAGTGCCGGTAGTGACGTTACTGGGGAGTGTCGAGCACGGAACAGTGCCGGTAGTGACGTTACTGGGGAGTGTCGAGCACGGAACAGTGCCGGTAGTAACCTGTTGTGGAGTGTCGAGCATGGAACAGTGCCGGTAGTAACCTGTTGTGGAGTGTCGAGCATGGAACAGTACCGGTAGTAACCTGTTGTGGAGTGTCGAGCACGGAACAGTGCCGGTAGTAACCTGTTGTGGAGTGTCGAGCATGGAAGAGTGTTTATAGTATCGATGTTGTGAAGGGTTGGGTAGGGTATCACGTCGCTTGCGATGATAATGTTAGAGGGTACAGTGTTGGTGTTGTCGAGGGTGAAGAAGGATGGTGTTGGCCGCTCCCCGCCGCTGTTTACTCACTCTCTTAAAAGTCGCACACCAAAATACTGCATGTTTATTTTGCCTTGTAAGGAATTAAATGTTGGCAAACATGAGGTGGGGGCGGCGGGCGTTGCTTGTCCGCTTGACTGATCTCTCTGCTGGCAGCCATTCTGTCCACCCACCGAGAAAATTACACGTTTTCACTCTGGAAACTAATTTGATAGTAAACGCTTATAATTTGTTTGTTGGTATTAGTGGCTGTGAGGAGCAGCAGCTGGCTATTATTGGTGTGTTCAGTTGTACTGCTCAGTGTAAAGTGTGGAAATTCCAGAAGCTGTCGCGTCGAGCTAGGCAGAGTAATTCGTATCTTTTCAAAGAAGGCCATACAGCTCATATTTGCTTCTCGTGTGATGCAAATGTTCCCCGGAGCAATATGTGAGGCTCTGTACCTTGTAACCCATGTTGTTATTTATCATCATGTCTTGTCGTATATAATTATGATCACAATAGTATTATAAATGTGCCAAGCCAAGGACCGTTCAATCTATTTTTCCCCTGAAGCATTAACCAGAATACACTGGTAATTTGGGTGCAAATTAGTGCACGATATATCTGGTGTCGCATAACCTTGTACTAGGTACATTACTGCAGCTTCTGATAAAGGCGAAGGGATCCCCATCCAGTACAGGGTGTTAGAAGGTAATAATCATTGCAGTACACAGTCGTGAGGCAGACAACAGCTTGCTGGAACTGTACTGATACAACTGCCCAGTACCCTGATGTTATATACATCACCTCATTGAAGTTCCAGGCCGTCTTGACGTTACCAATGTACTCTCCTGTATGTTTGTGGACTCAACTAGTTGATTATGCGGGAGATGAACCCTAGCTCTTGGGTCTTACCTCTCAACCCTTAATAGGCTAGAGCATAGGTTCCAGAAACGATTGAACTATCTACATGTAAAGCTGCAAATGGAGATTGCATCCACCATTTCACTTCTTAACGCATTCTATTGTTCACTATCCTGTATTCACCTAGTTGTGCTTGCGGGGGTTGAGCTCTGCTGTTTCGGCCCGCCTCTCAACTGTCAATCAACTGTTTCTACAACTACTATTCCCCCCTCCCCCACACACACACCCCAGGAAGCAGCCCGTGACAGCTGACTAACTCCCAGGTACCTATTTACTGCTAGGTAAACAGAGACATAGGGTGAAAGAAACTCTGGCCATCGTTTCTCGCCGGCGCCCTGGATTGAACCCGGGACCACAGGATCACGTGCCCAGCGTGCTGTCCACTCGGCCGGCCGGCTGTAGGGGTTGAGCTCTGGCTCTTTGGTCCCGCCTCTCAACTGAGCGAGCGGTGTGTGTGCGTGCGTGCGTGCATACGTGCGTGTGCGTGCATACGTGCGTGTGCGTGCATACGTGCGTGTGCGCGCAAACGTGTTTGCAGAATAGCATTGAGAAATAAAGAAAACAGTAGCGACAAAAGATGGAACGAGTAGAAGACTGGAAGAAGACAAACGGCCAGTGGAAAGGGGAGTGGGGAGGAAAAGGAAGGAAGAGAGAGAGAGAAGAGAGAAGAAGAAAAGGAGTATTGGGGTGGAGGGTTGACTGGGCAGGTCAACAGGAGCCCTAAGAACTGTGCTCGGGGACGTATTGTGTTACTTATTATCAATTATGATATCAATCCTCAGTCACAGCCCGGCCAGGCCCAGCCCAGAAGCCTCGGCCAGGCCCAGCCCAGCAGCCCCGGCCAGTCCCAGCCCAGAAGCCTCGGCCAGGCCCAGCCCAGCAGCCCCGGCCAGGCCCAGCCCAGCAGCCCTGGCCAGGCCCAGCCCAGAAGCCTCGGCCAGGCCCAGCCCGGCAACCCCGGCCAGGTTCAGCCCGGCAGCCCTGGCCAGGCCCAGTCCAGCAGCCCCGGCCAGGCAAGGTCTTGGCTAGGTCTTACGAAGTCTTAGCCAGGTCCAGCGTGGTTTCGGTCATGTCTGGCATGGTCTTGGCCAGATCTTGCGATGTTTTGGCCACGTCTTGCTTGGCTTTGGCCAGGTCTGGTATGGTCTTCCGTATGAGAAAAACGAAAACCTTAAAAGGAGTACAGGTTACAAAACACACATCTTTATTGACTGGACTGCGAGACCTTGGGATAATTATACCAGGCCTAGCATTTAAGAGATCACATTGCAACAACCAAGAAAATGATAGGGTGGATAATGAGAACCTTCCGAACAATGAATGTCACACCAATGATAGTAATCTTAAAACCACTGCGGCTATCTCATTCGGAATATTTTTCGGTCCTCACAACCTCTTACA